ATAGACATATAAAAGGAATTTGAATCAACTGTACTGCATCCCATTCTCAGCAATTCGTCTCATAGCAGAACAAACAAAATTAATAGGCAATTCCATTCAGACTGGTCATTAAAATATCGAAGGCCTAAAAACATATTCATAAACAAGCAAAAATTGATTCTTCAGATCTTAAACTCATTATGAATACACATATTGTTGTAAGAATGCTTCACTTCCATGAATGTCACAGTTCCATTGCTATACTATTGACTCCTTTTGTTGAATTGTACTCCAGTTGTGCATTAGTATGCTTGGCCTCGATTTAAAAATGGCAATAAGAAGAAGAAGCACATTTCTGCTATCACTCTTATGATTAGGAAGACAAATTTGTGAATGGTACTTGAATGTAAATTGAACCTGGAGACTGCCAACACTTGTAGCTTTGAGAGAAGTGTGAACTGCCTCATTTATTTCAATGGACTGTCAATACCGAAACCTAGGAATGGTAAATTAAAAAATTGACACTGCTGGCTCACTGCAGGTATTATTTACAGAAATATCTGTTAATATGCTTCTGAATAGGCTCCCACATGACAAACAAAGGTTATCAATTCCCCAACACCACCACTAGAACTTCAGTTTTACTCCCCTGACAATTCCTGGTACAAATATCTTCAGCACATTAGAGCAGAGAAAGTTGAATGTCTATCACATCAAAATGAGCAACACCAACACACTGATTGTATTATTTATTTTCATGTTTAATTCAACAAAAGGCTCAGTTTTTCCAATATAACTAGAACTGTTACAGAATTTCCAAGACTGACACAGAGAATTACTTGGAACTGGATTTAGCTGCCTAAATCTAAAACTTAAATTTTCAAAACCTCAACTTAGTTGTTGCCTAATCTTGTAGATGCCTAATTTCCTTAGCTGTCTAAATCGCCATCAGTGGCTATGTGCAAAGCTGCCTTCTAAGTCCTCACTGTGCTGAGGTACTCCAGACCTAATCCCTATGGGATCCTAAAACTTAGTGCTCCTCTGCCTGTCTCATTTCCAGGGTGCAATTTGATAGGTGTTCTCAGATGCTCCCTACTGGATTGGGATCCAAAAAAATAACAGATGAGAAAAAATACCTACCAGACCAGTGATTACAGTACTCACATAGGATGAATGAGATTGAGATTCATTTTCCTTCTCTGCTTGATCTGAAGCAGGAAGTTTAATCTAGGTCATCTAGCTGCATGCCATAACCACTAGACTGTAGGATTTTCCAGGCAAGGTGCTCTCAGTTCCTTCTGTTGAATCTGTTCTGTTGAGGGTCATTAATTAATCAGGCATTAAAGCAGGGACTAGACTTTAAGGCCACATCTATACTTACCATACCAGAGAGTTAACTTCTAGCATTTGATTTAGTGGGTCTAGTAAAGACCTGCTAAATCAAAAGCTGAGAGTGCTCCCAGTTGATGCTGCTACTCCTTGATTCGCGAGGAGTAAGGGAAGTTGATAGGAGCATTTGCTCATATCTACTTTCCACTGTTGAAATGGCGCCAAGTTCGGGTTAAGGTATTTTGACTCCAGATATGTTATGTACATAGTTGCTGGGGGTACGTCTTCACTTGCTCCCTATCTTAAGATAGGGATGCAAATGTAGCCAACCAAAATTGCAAATGAAGTGAGGATTTAAATATCCTGTGCTTCATTAGTATAATCTCACCCATGCACTATTCCAATTGCCAGCTGATTTGAACCAGGAAGTGCGCTCTGGGCCATGTTAGTTCGAATCAAACCCCTTGGAGTAACGCTAGTTCGAACCAAGGGGTTTGATTTGAACTAATGCAGCCTGGAGCGCACTTCCTGGTTCGAATCAGCTGGTGATTGGAATAGCGTGCGGGCAATATTATGCTAATGAAGTGCGGGATATTTAAATCCCCACTTCATTAGCAATTTCGATCGGCTACATTTGCATCCCTATCTCGAGATAGGGAGCAAGTGTAGACATACCCTGGTTATGTAAATATGTAAATAGTCAGTTACATATTTCAAACTGACCTTCAGGGTGTGGCATAGAGCTGGCCTAAGTCCCCCAGCTGAGTGCCTTAGCCAGAGAGTGACAGAACCATTCTCATTCTCTCTGACTGATACAGAGATAGGATTTGAAATTGAGACTCCCACTTTGAAGATAAATGTTCTAACTATCAAGCTATTGAATATAAGGATAGCATGGCCACCATGTCCTTGTTTTTTGTGAAAAAGAGCTGATCTGATGTAAGCACCTAACTCCGGGACTGGATTTGTGAATCCAAACCAGAGAAAGCTGCTTCCATCTGGCTCAGTTATCCACCTAATTTCCTTTAAGAAGTGGGACTTAAGCCTTTCCTCTCTCCCCAGCATTTCCTATTAGCGAGTTTAGGTGGCTAACCACTCCCAGATTTCTGGTTTCTATGAATTACATTCTTAGATGCCTTTTTCTCCCCATACATCGTTCTATAGAGACCCTGGATCCTAGCTCAGGACTATCAATTCCATAAGGCATCGGGACACCTAAACTTTATGCATTGCAACAGTAAATCTAAGTTCCCTTTCTAGCTCTAACCCTTCATCTCTCGTGCCCTAAAACTTATGGAATTCACTTCTGCAAGGGATCAAAATGATAACTAAGCTAATTTAGAACTGAAAGCTAAGCTCTTTTTTCAGCCTAGCCTTTTCCATGACAAGCTACTTCTCACACACAGAACTACAAACAAATAAAGATATTTCTCCTAGGGACTGGGAAGGGGAAAAAAACTACAGAGAAATTGCTACTATTACTTGAAATTGCTACTGTTACTTCTTCTACTAAATACTTAGAAGTTACTCAGAAACTGTGTTGATGTGTGCCATAGAAGTTTGATTGTCTTTTTTCCAAGCTGCCACATTGCTCATACATAAAACAAAATTTTTAAGTATCAAACTGAGAAGTGCAAGCAAAGAAAATGGTTATATAGTAAAATGTTCTGGCTCAGTCTTTTAAGATCAGAATTTAAGTGTTTGAGTCAGTATTGCATAATTCCACTGAAGTTCACCTTTTAATATTCTTTGACTCTACTGGTTCTATTAACATAGAAATCCCTTCAAAGTCAGGGATATACAGAAGAGAGGTGGGAATAATAAAGCTACAAATCTTTCATTTGTTTAAATTATTTTATAACAAATAGAGATTTTAAAGTTATTTTAGCAGCATAGAAAGAATTCAAAATTAAACATATCTGTATGGGTATGTTTACACTAGCCCCCTAGTTCGAACTAGGAAGGCTAATGTAGGCATTCGAAATTGCAAATGAAGCCCGGGATTTAAATATCCTGGGCTTTATTTGCATGTTCCTGTCCAGGAGGAGTAACAGTAAATTCGAACTAAGGACTTAGTTCGAATTACCATTTCACTGCCGCCTCTAGCCACAGGCAGTTACTCTGGGCTAGTGGAATTTCAAAATGGCGACCGGACGGGAACATGCAAATAAAGCCTGGGATATTTAAATGTAGGAATCAAGTGAGCCAAACCATCATCATCATCACCACCATCATCATCAGGCTTGTTACAGATCATTTTGTCTTTTCTCCCTCGACTCACATATGTAGGAATCAAGTGAGCCAAATCCATGCAATTAACTCCACTCCCCATCCTCCAGCAGTGTTGATGCATCATCATTCACCAACGACTGGCCTTTGAGGGGAAACAACTGCCACAGTGAAATATCCACACAAAGACCCCACAAGTAGGTAGCAAATTCCAATTTACCTGCAAAAGCATCCTCTCAACTTCACAAACCATCTGAACGCTACAGAAGAAACAAGTCCCAACCCAAGTATGTAAAAAGAACCCAATTCCTTATTTTGTCCTAGTCCAATAAGACACTCACTTGAACAGGAAAATGCCAAGAGGAATATGGACTATCAAGCAGAAGCCCTGCCTGCTTCAAACTCAACAACACAAATGACAGTTCCTTGCTTCTCAGTCCCAACCCACAATTCAGTTTTAAACAATGAAGCTCCTGGACCAGCCTGAAGGTCAATGAAGACAAGACAGAAAGGATTCTGCCTGGGAGGTGGGAACAAAGAACTGGGAGATGTGGCTAGGATTATATGTGCCCTTTCAACTGATAGTATATGGCTATCACTTGTGACTCCAATTCTTAATCTGGGATCCTGTTGGCTCCCCAGATGGGGTTAGATAATTATATAGGAGCAGTGACCAAGAAGAGTTGTTGTTTTCTTCTGTTGCTGTCTGTCCTAGAGATAGCAATGATTTCTCTCTGTAGGGGACTATGCATTTATTGTCCTTGTCTCTCACCTAGAGATCAAATTACTGAACCTTACACTGAGGTATCTGGAGCAACACTTTCATCAGCTAACAGACTGAAGCTAAGCCACATTTCAAAGCCTGTCTCTTTTCATAGGCCTTTTATGAGTAGAAGGTGAGCTGAGGGTCAGGATATATCCATTGACAGTCGTGTTCTACGGTTGGAGTGTGATTTTTTTTTTTTTTTGCTGATTTAGGGAATCAGCTGTATTTATTTTTATCATATGAATGGCTTTTTAGTATATGACCCTGAAGTCACTCAAGGCCCTGAGTAAGCACATTTTAATGTTTGTATAGAACTAAGAAACTAAATAGTATCCTCCCAGTTAATGTCCTAACTCAGGCTCCAGTTCAGGAAAGTTCTTACACACATAAGCAGGTCCATCTGTATTCAGGAAAATGCATATGCTTATGCTTAACTTTAATCATGTCCATAAATCCTATTGACTACACACATGCTTAAGTGCTTTTCTAAATAGGGATGCTTTCCTGAATGGGCTGTATGTGCCAAAGAGGGACTTGAATAGTCCTTTGAGAAACCTATCAGAGCTAAAGACTATAACCTTTGGGACTCCGGTGTGACTACCTGAGAATATGCAAAATTAGCCCATGCACTTCTCTAGCTTTTATTATCCTGGTCCTCTCTATGAGGGTGTGAATCATTAGGCAGAAGTCAGCATTGTTAGGAGTGCAGATATATATTTATTTAGGGACCTGAATGTCAAGAGCAGGACTGCTCTTAATAGCTGATGATTCTACAAGTCAGACACTTTCCTTCCGCTGCCCATCACTCTATTTTATATCTCACAATAGATAAAAAGATAGGACCCCAGGTCCTGACAGCAGGGGTCAAGTTGGCTTTGTTGTCATTTCTTCTCCTTCCCCTCCCCATCAGAGATGCACCTCTCTGGGCTCATGGCAGAGAAGGTGACCATGTGGGAGAGATTTTCTGCCACCAGATTGCAGATATTATTTCCTTTGTGGTAAAATTGCAAATGAAGCCCGGGATTTAAATATCCCGGGCTTTATTTGCATGTTCCTGTCCAGGAGGAGTAACAGTAAATTCGAACTAAGGACTTAGTTCGAATTACCATTTCACTGCCGCCTCTAGCCACAGGCAGTTACTCTGGGCTAGTGGAATTTCAAAATGGCGACCGGACGGGAACATGCAAATAAAGCATGGGATATTTAAATCCCGGGCTTCATTTGCAATTTTGAATGCCTACATTAGCCTCCCTGGTTCGAACTAGGGGGCTAGTGGAGACATACCCTATGTTATAAATATAGATGACTGCCAAATGAGGATGGATAGACAAAGAAGTGGATTTTGAATATCTAACATCTAGCAATATCTAGTTCTGTTGATTTGTGAGGTACCAAATCTTAGGATCAGCTTGCTTTCCTTCTCTACAATTGACTATATAATACCACTACAGTAGATCTTAAATTGTCAGAGCTTAAAAAATCCTAACAGGATATCTGCCAAGGTTGAAATTGGTTTTCAATGATAATGAGAAACTGACATCCAAATTTTAGTGTTTTGAGAGAACTGGCTGCTAACTAGCAATGGAACAGAAGTGAGGAAGTTGGGAAAGCAAAGTATTGGTGAAGAATCATGGTACTTACAAGTCTGAAATCTTAATGCCTGCTATGGTTAGAAATGTTTTGGCAGGATAATAGTGATTTCTAAACAATAATCTAGGACCAAGTATCCAAAAGAAAAAATGGATCCCTGCAATTATACCTGTAAACTTTAGAGAGGGTTTTCCCTTCAATGTCAACATGGTCATCGTCGACCGGACGGGAACATGCAAATAAAGCCTGGGATATTTAAATGTAGGAATCAAGTGAGCCAAACCCATGCAATTAACTCCACTCCCCATCCTCCAGCAGTGTTGATGCATCATCATTCACCAACGACTGGCCTTTGAGGGGAAACAACTGCCACAGTGAAATATCCACACAAAGACCCCACAAGTAGGTAGCAAATTCCAATTTACCTGCAAAAGCATCCTCTCAACTTCACAAACCATCTGAACGCTACAGAAGAAACAAGTCCCAACCCAAGTATGTAAAAAGAACCCAATTCCTTATTTTGTCCTAGTCCAATAAGACACTCACTTGAACAGGAAAATGCCAAGAGGAATATGGACTATCAAGCAGAAGCCCTGCCTACTTCAAACTCAACAACACAAATGACAGTTCCTTGCTTCTCAGTCCCAACCCACAATTCAGTTTTAAACAATGAAGCTCCTGGACCAGCCTGAAGGTCAATGAAGACAAGACAGAAAGGATTCTGCCTGGGAGGTGGGAACAAAGAACTGGGAGATGTGGCTAGGATTATATGTGCCCTTTCAACTGATAGTATATGGCTATCACTTGTGACTCCAATTCTTAATCTGGGATCCTGTTGGCTCCCCAGATGGGGTTAGATAATTATATACAAGCAGTGACCAAGAAGAGTTGTTGTTTTCTTCTGTTGCTGTCTGTCCTAGAGATAGCAATGATTTCTCTCTGTAGGGGACTATGCATTTATTGTCCTTGTCTCTCACCTAGAGATCAAATTACTGAACCTTACACTGAGGTATCTGGAGCAACACTTTCATCAGCTAACAGACTGAAGCTAAGCCACATTTCAAAGCCTGTCTCTTTTCATAGGCCTTTTATGAGTAGAAGGTGAGCTGAGGGTCAGGATATATCCATTGACAGTCGTGTTCTATGGCTGGAGTGTGATGATTTTTTTTTTTTGCTGATTTAGGGAATCAGCTGTATTTATTTTTATCATATGAATGGCTTTTTAGTATATGACCCTGAAGTCACTCAAGGCCCTGAGTAAGCACATTTTAATGTTTGTATAGAACTAAGAAACTAAATAGTATCCTCCCAGTTAATGTCCTAACTCAGGCTCCAGTTCAGGAAAGTTCTTACACACATAAGCAGGTCCATCTGTATTCAGGAAAATGCATATGCTTATGCTTAACTTTAATCATGTCCATAAATCCTATTGACTACACACATGCTTAAGTGCTTTTCTAAATAGGGATGCTTTCCTGAATAGGCTGTATGTGCCAAAGAGGGACTTGTATAGTCCTTTGAGAAACCTATCAGAGCTAAAGACTATAACCTTTGGGACTCCGGTGTGACTACCTGAGAATATGCAAAATTAGCCCACCCACTTCTCTAGCTTTTATTATCCTGGTCCTCTCTATGAGGGTGTGAATCATTAGGCAGAAGTCAGCATTGTTAGGAGTGCAGATATATATTTATTTAGGGACCTGAATGTCAAGAGCAGGACTGCTCTTAATAGCTGATGATTCTACAAGTCAGACACTTTCCTTCCGCTGCCCATCACTCTATTTTATATCTCACAATAGATAAAAAGATAGGACCCCAGGTCCTGACAGCAGGGGTCAAGTTGGCTTTGTTGTCATTTCTTCTCCTTCCCCTCCCCATCAGAGATGCACCTCTCTGGGCTCATGGCAGAGAAGGTGACCATGTGGGAGAGATTTTCTGCCACCAGATTGCAGATATTATTTCCTTTGTGGTACTGCATAACTGGCTTCTCCCCAAGTATAGTGGGCACTGCTACTCCCTTGTTTGCTGCTGCTTCCTTCTCCTGTCGCCGCATGTCCTGATATACCTGGTGCATGATGAACTGGGTTGTGTTCCTTGGTGCACGCATCCCTGGTGCACGCCAGCCACACAGGTTCATAGGTCGTAGCAGTGCAGCTACTGCTGCACGCATGCTTGCTGGCACACGGCACTTGGGGACCCAGCGGCGCTGTGCTATGCTCCAATGCTTTGCTTGCTTCTTCTTCCAGGATCCCTTCCTATTGCCTCCCTCCATCCACCAACACTGCCTCCTTCTGGGGAGTCTGCAGTGGTGCCATCTAGAAAAGGTGTGGGCAGCCCTTGGCTGCCTATGCACAGTGCCATAGGGCCAGAGAGAAAACTCTCCCAGGCTCCTTCTCTCCCACATCAGGGTCCTGCCTGCTGTTGCAGGCCACTGATGTTGTTGACCCTTCATAGAAAGCTGCTGCCACCCATGTTGGCTCCTCCACTGGCTAGTCAGGTATATATAAGGATTCTGTTCCACCAAATACTTCTTGTTTTGCACCACCAGCTGCTTCCTTGGCTCCATCTCCTCCTGTAGCTGCCAGTTCCCTCTGTACTGTTGATTCCTTCTGCTACTGCCAGCTCCTCCTGGCCTCAACCAGCTGGTCTCCTGCAGCTGCTGTCCCTGTCTGCTGCTGTTCCTTCCAGCTCCTCCTGCCTTGGGGCCATTCCCAACTCCAATTGCGGCTCGTAACATGATGAGCCCCCGGTGCGAGATGCCGCTTGGTCCCTTGTCCCTGCACAGACTCAACAGGCCGCGGGGTGTAGTGCCACCGGGGATGGCGGCCTCCTTTCACCTCAGGAGTCCTGTCCACACTGAACATAGCATCCCAGTTACCGGGGGCAACAGGCAGCCAATCACAAAGCAATGGGAGGGGCTGTGACTGAACATTCCACAGGTGCTTTTGCCCAGAGAGTGGGGGTGGGGACTCAGATTGTTTTTCTTACCTACGGGGCTTAAGGAAAGTCAAATTTCATGCCTGCTGCCTGAAGTTTGGGGACAACTGCACCATATTCAGCCCCTTCCTTCCCCCCCACCACACACACACACACACACACACACACACACACACACACACACACACACACACACCTGCCATGCTTTGTGCATGGGTTTTAACTAGAAATAGGTTTGAGACAAGATGCCAGATATAAACACCCCAAACTCTGGAATAGGTAAGACCTAGTGTAGCAATTACCCCCGAAGTCAGAGGATGCTGGCCCCTGTCATGAGACAAGGGTATAAATCTTTGTGACTTTGATCCAGGTCAAGTGGCTGGGGTGAAGAAATACATTTGTGTGTCACCCCTTTATTATATCCAGGCCCTGCCCCTATTCCTAACATTAATTCCAGTCTACATTTTACTACCAATACTGAGATTTCAATCTGAGGCTCTCAAAGCACCTCACGCAGGCAAGTGATTGTTATTGTTTCATTATACAGGTAAGATGTTTGAGACACTGAGGGTATGTCTACACTACAGCGCTAATTCGAACTAACTTAGTTCGAATTAGTTAATTCGAACTAAGCTAATTCGAACTAGTGCAGCTAGACCTAAAAACTAGTTCGAATTAGCGTTTTGCTAATTCGAACGAGCGCGTCCACACTGATTGGACGCAGGAGTGCATTTAAGGGCACCTGAAACCAGTTCTGGCAGGGCATCAGGTCAGTAGCTGCGTTGTGTGGCTGCTGTCTGAGGCTATCTGAGGCTCGTGCTTAAAGGGACCCCCCTGGACAGCCGGTTCTCAGCTTTTCCGCTTGCTTGCCAACCTCACCGAGGGACAGCAAAGCGTTGGTCTCTGTGCCCGTCTGTGTCGGTGCTTCCCTTCAGGGACGCCGCTGCAGGTGGCAACATGGAGCCAGAGCTCGCCCTGCACCTTCTGGTGCACTTTCTGGACTTGCTGCTGCAAGCCTGCCAGCAATGGCTCGAGACTGCCTGGCACCACCTGGTGCATGTCAGCCCCCTGC